CCAATTTCTTGGAAGAGATCCCGGGTTTTTTGGGAAAAAATCCCATTTTTGGGGAAAAAATCCTGGTTTTTGGGAAAAGATCCCGGTTATTTGGGAAGAGATCCCATTTTTTTGGGAAAAGATCCCGTTTTTTTGGGACAAGATCCCGGGTTTTGGGAAAAGATCCCATTTTTTGGGAAAATATATCGGTTTTTTGGGGGAAAAGATCCCATTTTTGGGAAAGATCCCAGTTTTTGGGAAAAGATCCCAGGTTTTGGGAAAAAGTCCCATTTTTTGGGAAAAGATCCCATTTTTTGGGAAAAATCACGGTTTTTTGAGAAAAGATCCCGGGTTTTGGGAAAAGATCCCGGATTTTTTGGAAAAAATCCCATTTTTTTTGGAAAAATCCCATTTTTTGGGAAAAAATCCTGGTTTTTTGGGAAAAGATCCCATTTTTTGGGACAAGATCCCAGGTTTTGGGAAAAAATCCCATTTTTTGGGAAAATATATCGGTTTTTTGGAGGAAAAGATCCCGGATTTTTGGGAAAGATCCCAGTTTTTGGGAAAAGATCCCAGGTTTTGGGAAAAGATCATGGTTTTTTGGGAAAAGATCCTATTTTTTGGGGAAAGATCCCGGGTTTTGGGAAAAAATCCCATTTTTTGGGAAAAGATCCCATTTTTTTGGGAAAAAATCCCAGTTTTTTGGGAAAAAATCCTTGTTTTTGGGAAAAAATCCCGTTTTTTTGGGAAAAGATCCCATTTTTTGGGAAAAAATCCTGGTTTTTCAGGAAAAGATCCCATTTTTGGGAAAAGATCCCGGTTTTTTTGGGGAAAAATCCCAATTTTTTGGGGAAAAGATCCCATTTTTTGGGGAAAAAATCCTGGTTTTTGGGAAAAGATATTGGTTTTTTGGGGAAAAATCCCATTTTTTGGGAAAAATCCCGGTTTTTTGAGAAAAGATCCCAGGTTTTGGGAAAAGATCTCGGTTTTTGGGAAAAAAATCCCGGTTTTTTGGGAAAAAATCCCATTTTTTGGGGAAAGATCCCGGGTTTTTGGAAAAAATCCCGTTTTTTTGGGAAAAGATCCCATTTTTTGGGAAAAAATCCCTTTTTTTTGGGAAAAATCCCATTTTTTTCAGAAAAAATCCCGTTTTTTGGTAAAAATCCCATTTTTTTTGGAAAAGATCCCATTTTTTGGGAAAAGATCCCAGTTTTTTTGGGAAAAAAATCCCTTTTTTTGGAAAGAGATCCCAATTTCTGGGAAGAGATCACGGGTTTTTGGGAAAAAATCCCATTTTTGGGGAAAATATCCAGGTTTTTGGGAAAAGATCCCGGTTATTTGGGACAAGATCCCGGGTTTTGGGAAAAGATCCCAGGTTTTGGGAAAAATCCCATTTTTTGGAAAAAAAAATCCCATTTTTTTGGGAAAAAAATCCCTTTTTTTGTGAAGAGATCCCGTTTTTTTGGGAAAAGATCCCATATTTTGGGAAAAGATCCCGGATTTTGGGAAAAAATCCCATTTTTTTGGGAAAAATCCCATTTTTTGGGAAAAAATCCTGGTTTTTTGGGAAAAGATCCCAGTTTTTTTGGGATAAAATCCCGGGGTTTTTTTGGGGTTTTTTTTCAATCCCAGCTCGGGCTGAGATTCCCGACCGGAATTCCGGGATTTTCCGGGAATCTCATCCCAGTTTTCCCTCCTCACAGAGAGCTCCGGCGGAGGAGATCACCTACGAGACGCTGAAAAAGGCCATCGGTAAGGGCAGGAATTCCGGGAATTCCGGGAATTCCGGGAATTCCGGGAGCTCGGGAAAGGCCGAACATTCCCAGGAATTCCCACCCCAATTCCCGGAATTCCCGGAGTTGGGATTGGGGTGGTTTTTTTTTTTCCCTCTGGAATTCCGGGAATGGGAGAATTTGGAAAATGATTCCCAAAATTTCCCTTCCCCTCCCCCCTCCCCTCGGAATCATCCGGAATTTTCTTGGAAAATTCCTGGAAATCCTGAAAAATTCCAGGAAAAATCCCTCGGGATCCGGAATTCCCACTTTTCCAAGCCCTTCCCGAAATCCATTCCCGAAATCTCCCCGTGGGGACGGATCCAGCCCCAGATCCCCATCCCGGAATTCCGGGAATTCCCTTGGGAATTCCTGGAGCTGGGAACTGGGAATGGGGGTGGGGCTTTTTCCTGGAATTCCCGGAGCTGGGAGCCAGGATTGGGGCGGGATTTCCCCCCCAGAATTCCTGGAATTCCCAGCACTGGGATGGGATTTTCCCTCTGGAATTCTGGGAATTCCCAGAGCCGGGAGCCAGGACTGGGATGGGATTTTCCCTTTGGAATTCCCGGAGCTAGGAGCCAGGACTGGGATGGGATTTCCCCTTTGGAATTCTGGGAATTCCCGGAGCTGGGAGCTGGGATTGGGGCGGGATTTCCCCTTTGGAATTCCAGGAATTCCCAGAGCTGGGAGCCAGGATTGTGATGGGATTTTCCCTCTGGAATTCCAGGAATGGGGCGGAATTTTCCCCCCAGAATTCCAGGAATTCCCATCACTGGGAGCCGGGATCGGGGTGGGATTTTCCCTTTGGAATTCTGGGAATTCCCGGAGCTGGGAGCTGGGATTGGGATGGGATTTTCCCTTTGGAATTTCCATTATTTTTCCCAGAATTCCCAGTGGACAGCGTGGCTGTGGGGCCAGGATTGGGGCGGGATTTTTCCTCTGGAATTCCGGGAATTCCCGGAGCTGGGAGCCAGGAATAGAGCAGGGTTTTCCCTCCGGAATTCCCAGCACTCTGAGCTGGGATTGGGGCGGGATTTTTCCCTCTGGAATTCCTGGAATTCCCGGAGCTGGGAGCCGGGATCGGGGTGGGATTTTCCCTTTGGAATTCCGGGAATTCCCGGAGCTGGGAGCCAGGACTGGGATGGGATTTTTCCTCTGGAATTCCTGGAGCCGGGATTGGGGTGGGATTTCTCACTCTGGAATTCCAGGAATTCCCAGCACTCTGAGCTGGGATTGAGGTGGGATTTTCCCTCTGGAATTCCTGGAGCTGGGAACCAGGACTGGGATGGGATTTTCCCTTTGGAATTCCCAATTTTTTCCCCGGAATTCCCCTTAGTGGACAGCGTGGCCGCGGGGCCGGGATTGGGATTGAGATTTCCCTGTGGAATTCCCATTTTTTCCCGGAATTCCTGGGACAGGAACAGCGTGGGATCGGGGATGGGGTTGGGACAGGATTGGGATGGATTCCCCTTTGGAATTCCCATTTTTTCCCAGAATTCCGGCGGCAGTGGACAGTGTGGCTGTGGAGGAGCAGGGATTGGGATTGGGGCCGGGATTCCCTCCAGAATTCCCATTTTTTCCCGGAATTCCCAGGGCTGTGAACAGCGTGGGATTGGGATGGGATTGGGATGGATTCCCCTCTGGAATTCCCATTTTTTTCCCTCTGGAATTCCCCTCCAGTGGACAGCGTGGCTGTGGAGGAGCAGGGATTGGGATTGGGATGGGATTTCCCTCTGGAATTCCCATTTTTCCCAGGAATTCCCGGCTGCAGTGGACAGAGTTGGATTGGGATGAGATTGGGATGGGATTTCCCTCCACATTTCCCATTTTTTCCCGGAATTCCCAGTGCTGTGAACAGCGTGGGATCAGGGACGGGATTGGGATGGGATTGAGATTCCCCTCTGGAATTCCCATTTTTCCCCCTCTGGAATTCCCCTCCAGTGGACAGGGTGGCTGTGGAGGAGCAGGGATTGGGGATTGGGATGGATTCCCCTCCGGAATTCCCAATTATTTTCCCCTCTGGAATTCCCCTCCAGTGGACAGCGTGGCTGTGGAGGAGCAGGGATTGGGGATTGGGATGGATTTCCCTCCAGAATTCCCAATTATTTTCCTGGAATTCCCCTCCAGTGGACAGCGTGGCTGTGGAGGAGCAGGAGCGCGAGCGGCGGCGCCAGGTGGTCGAGAGGTTCCAGAAGGCTCCGTTCGAGGAAATCGCCGCCCACTGCGGAGCCCGGGTGAGAGCCCAGGGAAAACCCGGAATTCCCAACAGGAATTCCCGACTGGAATTTCTAACCGGAATTCCCGACCGGAATTCCCAACCGGAATTCCCAGCAGGAATTCCCAGCAGGAATTCCCAACTGGAATTCCCAAAATCGCCGCCCACTGCGGAGCCCGGGTGAGCTGGAGCCGGGAAACCCGGGAATTCCCAACCAGAATTCCCAACAGGAATTTCCAACCGGAATTCCCAACAGGAATTCCCGACCACAATTCCCAACCAGAATTCCCAACTGGAATTCCCAAAATCGCCACCCACTGCAGAGCCCGGGTGAGAGCCCAGGGAAAGCCCGGAATTCCCGACCGGAATTCCCAGCAGAAATTCCTGACCAGAATTCCCGACCAGAATTCCCAACTGGAATTCCCAACCGGAATTCCTGACTGCAATTCCCAACAGGAATTCCCAAAATCGCCGCCCACTGCGGAGCCCGGGTGAGAGCCCAGGGAAAACCCGGAATTCCCAACAGGAATTCCCGACAGGAATTCCTGAACAGAATTCCCAGCAGAAATTCCCGACCAGAATTCCCAACCGGAATTTCCGACCGGAATTCCTGACTGCAATTCCCAACCGGAATTCCCAAAATTGCCACCCACTGCGGAGCCCGGGTGACGGCCCAGGGAAAACCCGGAATTCCCGACCGGAATTCCCAACAGGAATTCCCAACCAGAATTCCCAGCAGGAATTCCCAACAGGAATTTCCAACAGGAATTCCCAACCGGAATTCCCGACCAGAATTCCCAACCAGAATTCCCAACTGGAATTCCCAGCTGGAATTCCCAACCGGAATTCCCGACTGGAATTTCCAACCAGAATTCCCGACCGGAATTCCCAACCAGAATTCCTGACTGGAATTCCCAAAATCGCCGCCCACTGTGGAGCCCGGGTGAGCTGGAGCCGGGAAAACCGGGAATTCCCGACCGGAATTCCCAACAGGAATTCCCAACCGGAATTCCCGACCGGAATTCCCGAGGGGAACGGGAGCCGGGGAGCTCCGGCCCCAGGAGGGGAGGGAGGGAGAGAGGAAAGAGACAAAAAACAAAAACCCCTCAAAAAGGCGCCAAAAATTCGGGGATGAGAGACGGAAAGCAGCCGGAATTTTGGGAAAAGTGCGTGAATTTTAGGGATTTTTAGGGATTTTTAGGGAAATTTAGGGATTTTTCAGGACTTTTAGGGATTTTTAAGGAATTTTGGGGAATTTTAGGGATTTTTAGGGATTTTTTTAGGGATTTTTAGGAATTTTAGGGATTTTTTAGGGAATTTTGGGCAATTTTAGGGATTTTTAGGGAATTTTAGGGATTTTAAGGGAATTTTGGGGAATTTTAGGGATTTTTTTAGGGAATTTTGGGGAATTTTAGGGAATTTTGGGGAATTTTAGGGATTTTTTTTAGGGAATTTTGGGGAATTTTAGGGAATTTTGGGAAATTTTAGGGATTTTTAGGGAATTTTGGGGAATTTTAGGGATTTTTTAGGAATTTTAGATAATTTCAGGGATTTTTATGGAACTTTGGGGAATTTTAGGGATTTTTAGGAAATTTTAGGGGTTTTTAGGGAGCTTTGGGGATTTTTTTTGAATTTTAGGGATTTTTAGAGAATTTTGGGCAATTTTAGGGATTTTTAGGATATTTTAGGGATTTTTAGGAAGCTTTGGGGATTTTTTGGGATTTTTAGTGATTTTTAGGGAATTTTAGGGATTTTTAGGGAATTTTGGGGAATTTTAGGGATTTTTAGGGAATTTTAGGGATTTTTTTAGGGATTTTCAGGATTTTTAAGGAATTTTAGGGAATTTTAGGGAATTTCAGGGAATTTTAGGAAATCTCAGGGATTTTTTAGGAATTTTAGAGATTTTTAGGGAATTTTAGGCAATTTTAGGGATTTTTAGGGAATTTTCAGGAATTTTAGGGAAAAGAGCTGAGGTTTTGGGGAAAAGAGCTGGAGTTTGGGGAAAAACGGGCGGAATTTTGGGAAAAGTGTGAAAATTTTGGGAAAAAGTTGGAATTTTTAGGGAAAGGAGGGGGAATTTTGGGAAAAGATCCCGAATTTTGGGGAAAAAAGAAATGGAATTTTAGGAAAAAAGTGGGAATTTTAGGGAAAAGAGTCGGAATTTTGGGATAAAAGCCAGAAAAAAAAGGCAGAATTTTGGGAAAAGTGCAGGAATTTTAGGGATTTTTCAGGGTTTTTCGGGAATTTTAAGGAAAAGAGCCGGAATTTTGGGATAAAAGCCACAAAAAAGGCAGAATTTTGGGAAAAGTGGGGGAATTTTAAAGAATTTTGGGGAATTTCAGGGAATTTTGGGGAATTTTAGGGAAAAGAGACGGAATTTTGGTATAAAAGCCACAAAAAAGGCAGAATTTTGGGAAAAGTGGGGGAGTTTTATAGAATTTTGGGGGAATTTTGGGGAATTTCAGGGAATTTTGGGGAATTTTACGAAAAAGAGCCGGAATTTTGGGATAAAAGCCACAAAAAAGGCAGAATTTTGGGAAAAGTGGGGGAATTTTAGAGAATTTTGGTGGAATTTTGGGGAATTTCAGGGAATTTTGGGGAATTTTAGGCAATTTTAGGTAATTTTAGGCAATTTTAAGGAATTTTGGGGAAAAGAGCTGAGATTTTGGGGAAAAGGGCTGGAATTTTGGGGAAAAAAGGGCGGAATTTTGGGAAGAGGGCGGGAAAC